AAACAATGAAGTAAACAATGTGTTGACAGGTAAACAATGAAGTGTGTTGACAGGTAAACAATGAATGTGTTGACAATGAAGTGTGTGTTGACAGGTAATCAATGAAGTATGTTGACAGGTAAACAATGAAGTGTGTTGACAGGTAAACAATGAAGTGTGTCGACAGGTAAACAATGAAGTGTGTTGACAGGTAAACAATGAAGTGTGTTGACAGGTAAACAATGAAGTGTTGACAGGTTGACAGGTAAACAATGAAGTGTGTGTTGACAGGTAAACAATGAAGTGTGTTGACAGGTAAACAATGAAGTGTGTTGACAGGTAAACAATGAAGTGAAGTGTTGACAGGTAAACAATGACAGTAAACAATGTGTTGACAGGTAAACAATGAAGTGTGTTGACAGGTAAACAATGAAGTGTGTTGACAGGTAAACAATGAAGTGTGTTGACAGGTAAACAATGAAGTGTGTTGACAGGTAAACAATGAAGTGTGTTGACAGGTAAACAATGAAGTGTGTTGACAGGTAAACAATGAAGTGTGTTGACAGGTAAACAATGAAGTGTGTTGACAGGTAAACAATAATGTTGACAGGTAAACAATGAAGTGTGTTGACAGGTAAACAATGAAGTGTGTTGACAGGTAAACAATGAAGTGTGTTGACAGGTAAACAATGAAGTGTGTTGACAGGTAAACAATGAAGTGTGTTGACAGGTAAACCATGTAGGGCGTTGACAGGTAAACAATGAAGTGTGTTGACAGGTAAACAATGAAGTGTGTTGACAGGTAAACAATGAAGTGTGTTGACAGGTAAACAATGAAGTGTGTTGACAGGTAAACAATGAAGTGTGTTGACAGGAAGTGTGTTGACAGGTAAACAATGAAGTGTGTTGACAGGTAAACAATGAAGTGTGTTGACAGGTAAACAATGAAGTGTGTTGACAGGTAAACAATGAAGTGTGTTGACAGGTAAACAATGAAGTGTGTTGACAGGTAAACAATGAAGTGTGTTGACAGGTAAACAATGAAGTGTGTTGACAGGTAAACAATGAAGTGTGTTGACAGGTAAACAATGAAGTGTGTTGACAGGTAAACAATGAAGTGTGTTGACAGGTAAACAATGAAGTGTGTTGACAGGTAAACAATGAAGTGTGTTGACAGGTAAACAATGAAGTGTGTTGACAGGTAAACAATGAAGTGTGTTGACAGGTAAACAATGAAGTGTGTTGACAGGTAAACAATGAAGTGTGTTGACAGGTAAACAATGAAGTGTGTTGACAGGTAAACAATGAAGTGTGTTGACAGGTAAACAATGAAGTGTGTTGACAGGTAAACAATGAAGTGTGTTGACAGGTAAACCATGTAGTGTGTTGACAGGTAAACAATGAAGTGTGTTGACAGGTAAACAATGAAGTGTGTTGACAGGTAAACAATGAAGTGTGTTGACAGGTAAACAATGAAGTGTGTTGACAGGTAAACAATGAAGTAAACAATGTGTTGACAGGTAAACAATGAAGTGTGTTGACAGGTAAACAATGAAGTGTGTTGACAGGTAAACAATGAAGTGTGTTGACAGGTAAACAATGAAGTGTGTTGACAGGTAAACAATGAAGTGTGTTGACAGGTAAACAATGAAGTGTGTTGACAGGTAAACAATGAAGTGTGTTGACAGGTAAACAATGAAGTGTGTTGACAGGTAAACAATGAAGTGTGTTGACAGGTAAACAAGTGTGTTGACAGGTAAACAATGAAGTGTGTTGACAGGTGTGTTGACAGGTAAACAATGAAGTGTGTTGACAGGTAAACAAGTGTGTTGACAGGTGTGTTGACAGGTAAACAGTGTGTTGACAGGTAAACAATGAAGTGTGTCGACAGGAAGTGTGTTGACAGGTAAACAATGAAGTGTGTTGACAGGTAAACAATGAAGTGTGTTGACAGGTAAACAATGAAGTGTGTTGACAGGTAAACAATGAAGTGTGTTGACAGGTAAACAATGAAGTGTGTTGACAGGTAAACAATGAAGTGTGTTGACAGGTAAACAATGAAGTGTGTTGACAGGTAAACAATGAAGTGTGTTGACAGGTAAACAATGAAGTGTGTTGACAGGTAAACAATGAAGTGTGTTGACAGGTAAACAATGAAGTGTGTTGACAGGTAAACAATGAAGTGTGTTGACAGGTAAACAATGAAGTGTGTTGACAGGTAAACAATGAAGTGTGTTGACAGGTAAACAATGAAGTGTGTTGACAGGTAAACAATGAAGTGTGTTGACAGGTAAACAATGAAGTGTGTTGACAGGTAAACCATGTAGTGTGTTGACATGAAGTGTGTTGACAGGTAAACCATGTAGTGTGTTGACAAGTAAACAATAAAGTGTGTTGACAGGTAAACAATGAAGTGTGTTGACAGGTAAACAATGAAGGATGTTGACAGGTAAACAATGAAGTGTGTTGACAGGTAAACAATGAAGTGTGATGACAGGTAAACATTGAAGTGTGTTGACAGGTAAACAATGAATGAAGTGTGTTGACAGGTAAACAATGAAGTGTGTTGACAGGTAAACAATGAAGTGTGTTGACAGGTAAACAATGAAGTGTGTTGACAGGTAAACAATGAAGTGTGTTGACAGGTAAACAATGAAGTGTGTTGACAGGTAAACAATGAAGTGTGTTGACAGGTAAACAATGAAGTGTGTTGACAGGTAAACCATGTAGGGCATTGACAGGTAAACAATGAAGTGTGTTGACAGGTAAACAATGAAGTGTGTTGACAAGTAAACAATGAAGTGTGTTGACAGGTAAACAATGAAGTGTGTTGACAGGTAAACAATGAAGTGTGTTGACAGGTAAACAATGAAGTGTGTTGACAGGTAAACAATGAAGTGTGTTGACAGGTAAACAATGAAGTGTGTTGACAGGTAAACAATGAAGTGTGTTGACAGGTAAACAATGAAGTGTGTTGACAGGTAAACAATGAAGTGTGTTGACAGGTAAACAGGTAAACCATGTAGTGTGTTGACAGGTAAACAATGAAGTGTGTTGACAGGTAAACAATGAAGTGTGTTGACAGGTAAACAATGAAGTGTGTTGACAGGTAAACAATGAAGTGTGTTGACAGGTAAACAATGAAGTGTGTTGACAGGTAAACAATGAAGTGTGTTGACAGGTAAACAATGAAGTGTGTTGACAGGTAAACAATGAAGTGTGTTGACAGGTAAACAATAAAATATATTGACAGATAAACAATGAAGTGTGTTGACAGGTAAATAATGAAGTGTGTTGACAGGTAAACAATGAAGTGTAGGGCGTTGACAGGTAAACAATGAAGTGTGTTGACAGGTAAACAATGAAGTGTGTTGACAGGTAAACAATGAAGTGTGTTGACAGGTAAACAATGAAGTGTGTTGACAGGTAAACAATGAAGTGTGTTGACAGGTAAACAATGAAGTGTGTTGACAGGTAAACAATGAAGTGTGTTGACAGGTAAACAATGAAGTGTGTTGACAGGTAAACAATGAAGTGTGTTGACAGGTAAACAATGAAGTGTGTTGACAGGTAAACAATGAAGTGTGTTGACAGGTAAACAATGAAGTGTGTTGACAGGTAAACAATGAAGTGTGTTGACAGGTAAACAATGAAGTGTGTTGACAGGTAAACAATGAAGTGTGTTGACAGGTAAACAATGAAGTGTGTTGACAGGTAAACAATGAAGTGTGTTGACAGGTAAACAATGAAGTGTGTTGACAGGTAAACAATGACAGGTAAACAATGTGTTGACAGGTAAACAATGAAGTGTGTTGACAGGTAAACAATGAAGTGTGTTGACAGGTAAACAAAACAGGTAAAATGAAGTGTGTTGACAGGACAGGTAAACAATGAAGTGTGTTGACAGGTAAACAATGAAGTGTGTTGACAGGTAAACAATGAAGTGTGTTGACAGGTAAACAATGAAGTGTGTTGACAGGTAAACAATGAAGTGTGTTGACAGGTAAACAATGAAGTGTGTTGACAGGTAAACAATGAAGTGTGTTGACAGGTAAACAATGAAGTGTGTTGACAGGTAAACAATGAAGTGTGTTGACAGGTAAACAATGAAGTGTGTTGACAGGTAAACAATGAAGTGTGTTGACAGGTAAACAATGAAGGTAAACAATGAAGTGTGTGTAAACAATGAAGTGTGTTGACAGGTAAACAATGAAGTGTGTTGACAGGTAAACAATGAAGTGTGTTGACAGGTAAACAATGAAGTGTGTTGACAGGTAAACAATGAAGTGTGTTGACAGGTAAACAATGAAGTGTGTTGACAGGTAAACAATGAAGTGTGTTGACAGGTAAACAATGAAGTGTGTTGACAGGTAAACAATGAAGTGTGTTGACAGGTAAACAATGAAGTGTTTGACAGGTAAACAATGAAGTAAACAATGTGTTGACAGGTAAACAATGAAGTGTGTTGACAGGTAAAGATATACTGTGGGAAACAGAACTCAGATTATGAGAGCCATTTAGCGAACTGGCCGGATAAGCAAGTGATGTGAGGGGTACACGAAAAGTGTCAGGATAAGCAAATGATAGGTTCACAGTCTAATGACTAATAGGACACCATTAATGTCCAATGAATATATTCCTATTCAGGATACGCGAGGTATTTCCGGTTACGCAACGCGGCCGGATGAGCGACAAGATGATGCGGATGATTATATGTAGATGCTCCTCCGAGTACAAAAACTTACTGAAACACAGTTTGGGGGATTAAGATTGAGGATTAAGAGACAGACAGAGACAGACAGGCAGACAGTCAGAGACGGACATATAGAGACGGACAGAGACAGGTATACAGCCAGACTCATATAGAGAGACAGAAACAGATACAGAGAGACAGTGATATAGAGAGATATAGAAACGGAGAGACATAAAGATGAAGCCATGACTTACAGTACGGACACTCAGAAACAGCTCAAGGGAGAAGAGGTGTAAAGGGACCTCGTATTAGAGACGAAGATACTTAC